CACACACACACACACACAAGCCTACAACACACACGCAAACCCACACTCTCTTTTTCTCCTGTCCCAGAGTTGCAGGTAAAACCTGCTTGATCAGAAACGGAGCASTGCTGAAAACTGCATTTACACGTCAAACCCTGGTGTCTGAAGTTTACAGTCATATTACAACCATGTTTAAATGTTATGTAATAGGCTTACTGTGTGCAGTTTCAGCTATCTAAAACTAATCAGTTAAATGTTAAAAGTTAATTTCTAAAAGGGTAGTTTAGAGTTGGTAAAGAAGTCAAGTGAATCTATAATATTTAATACTAATGACTTTCAACAACTGATTGTAGTCAGTATTTTGCACAAAGGTGGGACCAATGTGTCATGCTGGTTCTAGAMGTGTAATTATTGAAGTGGATCTGAAAGCCAACTCAGTATATGCGTTAGGTCAGYACAGTTTTAAGTTCCTTTACCAAGTGTTGTTGACACTCAGGTGATCTTGTCATGGCTGCTTGATGATATGTAGATATGGCTTACCCCTAATTTACATTACTTGCGTTCCGTCTCCGCTCTGGTCCGACCTCCGCAGCAAATACACACCCATTATAATCAATGAGAGAGTTTACACTGGCTGTGCACGGTGGCGGTGAGCTGACGGCGATCCGTCAAAATTAGAACAGATCCTATTTTTGCCGGACAACGGAGCAGCTCCGGAGTCGGTTTTTAAAGATTGCGTCACACCAACAGGAAAAGAAACGAGTACAACATCCGTATTTTCAAAATAAGACACTTAGGCTGGATAATTTGTTGGAATAAAGTCGAAATTGCAGCTATTTTAATAAATATACGGATATATTTCTACACAGATGCTGTCAGAATGTATCGTTCTGTTTGGGAAGCAGATGAAACATGTAGCATGAAGCATATGTGTACACACACGATACACGTGGATTTTATTTTGAAATTAGAAGTTTCAGAAAGTCGACAGCGAGACAGTTTCAACATAGATACCAAAAGCCTTTATATCGTTGTTTTCAGCTGTGTTTGGAGTTRGTCTTTCACAGAATTAATTATTTTTTGCTGTGACRTCTAGACTTATCACTGGATTTTTCWCGCGATCTCCTTCCTACACGCTTGTCGGACCGGAGCGGAGGTAGTGTAAACTGGACTTGAAACGCACAGCTACGACTTGCGCACCYCAGCGGAGTGGAGCCGTAACGCATGTAATGTAAATTAGGGGTTAGTCTTTTATAGGGTTATCTGAAGTTTGTCAGCAAATGAGGAAAATCTGTTTACAAAACAAGAAAAAATGTGACCCATCATCACATCAAATCAAATACTACGTCACCAAGTGGSATGTGGAGAAATAGTTATAGTGCATTGGTTAAAACATTTGTAACAATTATATTTTGTCAAAATATAGTCAATAAATATCTATGGGTAATTTAAATTAAATATTTAAAATGTAATTGTAAATTTATCATTTTCCCATCCAGCTAGCAAGCATTTTTTTTCTTTTCGGCAGGTAAATCTTAATATCCAAATTGTTTGTGGTTTCCTTTTTAAAATGTCAGCAAAAATTCATCATTAGAATAACCTAAAGATGGGATTCAGACTAAATATCAACAAGTTATCTTAATTGGGAAGACGAAGCAAGGCATATCTCTAGAACTCATAATATCCATATGACCCAGGTCTCAAAATGTAGCTTAAAAAGTAGGAATCTGAAAATGTGCTGAGGTCAGTCATTTTGACCAAATTTGACTAAACCTCAGTTTGATGTGATGGGTGACACACATTTCTCTTCACATTTTCAAGTTATTTACTGTATATTTTGCTTGTAAGTACCGTCATATGAACAAGTTTGGGTACCCTTGTTAATTTTCCTGATTTATCTTTTATAAATCATTGATTGTTTGGATTTTAAAAAATCAGTTAAATATATCTTATAGTGGACAAAACACAGTGATAT